GCTGCTTGCTACAAAAATCGATTTTCTGTTCGTAGAGAAGAAAAGGGAATGGATGTTGGATAGACGGTGGCCAGAGTGCCCCACAGGGACACGTAGGCTGTGGTAAAGGGCATGACCTTAGATCTGAGTGCAGCTTGGGAGCCACAGAATGTTCTAAGCAGGGGAGTGATGTGCAGTGAGGAAAGGCTGCAGGACTGAGCCGCAGGGGCACACACAACTGGGCACGTGCACTAGTTCTGTGGGGCTGCCATGACAGGTTAGCCCGAATTTGGTGGCTTAAACTATAGAAATTTATTCTGGAGAGTGGAAGTCAGAAATCAAGATGTGAGCAAAACCATGCTGCCCCTGAAGGAAACCCTTTCCTTGTCTCTTTCTGGCTCCTGGTGGCTCCTGGCAATCCTCAGCATTCCTTGGTTTATGATCTGCCATCCCGTGGCCTTCTTCCCTGTGTCTCTGTAACTGTGTCCAAATCACCCTCTTTTTCTAATTTTCATTTTTTTTTTTTATAAAGACATCACTTGTTGAATTGAGATCCCACCTGGACTTAGTGTGACTGCGTTGTTACTTGATCTTTACTCTATTTCTAAAAATGACCATAGTCAGATGAGGGGCTTAGGACTTGGATATATCTTTTTGGGGAACACAATTTAAATACCCCATGGCGTGCAAGGATTCAAGTGCTACCTAGATGCTGGCTTCACTAAATTGAGCCACTGGTTTCCCCTTCACCCATGCATCATAGAAAAGTAGCCCAGGATTTAGGGAGGCAAACTTCACCCAGTTGCTGGACATTGGTCCCTCCCTGGCCCCAGTCTCTCTTCTTCTCTCAAAAGAAGGCAAAAAGAAGAGCATGGGCTTCTGGCACAAGGTCTCAGTTCATGGGATACATACTTCTTGAGCACCAAGTATCTGAGAACTTTGAGCCATGGGCACAGAGGTGATCTTACCCTCCCAGTGTGTCAGGGTCTCATAATTAAGGCAGAAAAAAGACATTTTTTGGGGGGGAAGGGTAATTGAACCCAAGGGTGCTTTACCACTGAACCACGTCCCCAATTCTTTTTATTTTTTTATTTTGAGACAGGGTCTTGTTAAATTACTGAATTTGGACTTTAACTTGTACTCTGCCTTGCCTCATCCTCCCAAGTCACTGGGATTACAAGTGTTCACTAACACTCAGCTCACTCATTGGTTTTTCTTCTGTCAATTATGTTTTTGTTTTGTTTTGCTTTGCTTTGTTTAGTACCAGGGATTGAACCCAAGGGTACTTTGGCACTTTACCACTGAGCCACATCATTGGCCCTTTTTACTTTTTTTATTTTGAGATAGGGTTTCACTAAGTTGCTTAGGGCCTCCTAAGTTGCTAAGGCTGGCCTTGAACTCACAATCCTCCTGCCTCAGCCTCCTGAATCACTAGATTACAGGCATGAGCCACCATACCCATCAGAAACAGACATTTAAGTGGTTTCTTTAAAATTGTAGGCTAACTGGTGCCCCGTAATAAACTGCTTTTTGTGTGTGTGTGGTACTGGGCCTCACACATGCTAGGCAAGTGCTCAATCACTGAGCTACATAAGTTTTTTAAGTTACTGCCCAATGAGTTACGTTTTTATTTGAACTGGAGGCTAGGGCAGGAGGTGAGCTGTAGCCACAGCTATGACAGGTTGTCCCAGCTGAACATAAACTGGCTTCAGAGTTGGGGGTTTGCAGACTGTCAGATGCATAGTGTTGTCCAGGGCCCCTGTAAATTTTTTGCTTTGAGGACAAATATAATAAAAAACTAGGGGGGATAGTAGAGGATAGGAAAGGCAGCAGAACACAACAGACACTAGTATGGCAATATGTAAATCAATGGATGTGTAACTGATGTGATTCTGCAATCTGTATATGGGGTAAAAATGGGAGCTCATAACCCACTTGAATCAAAGTGTGAAATATGATATATCAAGAACTATGTAATGTTTTGAACAGCCAACAATAAAAAATTAAAAATATATATATAAAAATCAAAATAAATAAATAAATAAATAAATAAAAAACTACTCAGCTGCAAATCTCAGGAGGCAGGTTGGGCATCAGCAGATCCACTTTGGTACGCCTGTCTTTGCATAGGTTGGAGAACATAGACTTGGCAGGTGATTTTTGGTATCTTTTGTTTTGTTTCTTTTTTTTTCCTAAGTATTGTACGATTTTTTAATACCTTTATTTTATTTTTATGTGATGCTGAGGATCGAGCCCAGTACCTCACGTATGCCAGGCAAGTGCTCTACCTCTGAGCCACAACCCCAGCCCTTCCTTTGCTTTTGGTTGAGGTGTGGCTGCCCACCAGAGATTGGTGGGGATGGGAGAGATTGAGCCCTAGAGGGAAGAAGAGGGCTATGCGGGGGCAGAAGTTGCTGTTTCTTCAGGGAGGCTGTGATCCCTGGCATAAGATGGCTTTGGTGCAGTGGGCAGAGCTGGAGAGCAGTGCATCTTCCTCTGGGCACCCTCCTGGAACCTCAGGGTTGGCAGCTGTGGCAGCAATAGGAAGCAGCATTCTGGCACGGGCACTTGCCCTCACCCTGGGGTGGTGGCACCAGGAGGGCTTCCTTAGGGGCTTCATGGGTAGAGTCCATTAACCCAATAAGTCTGGGCCCATGTGACAATTGAAAATAGCAGACACGATTCACCCCTGATCACCAAAAATGTTGGATGATGATTTGCAAGGGTTGGAGGTCGTCCCTGGGCAGATAAGGTCAGAAGGTCAATAAGAAGTGATGTTTAAGCTGAGCACTAAAGAAACAGGAATCCGCTGTGAGGAGAATACAGGGGCTGTGATTCTTCCTGTGTGGTGGCCTGAGGCTGTCAGAGGAGTTCAGTCTGGTTGGTGGGTGCCCAGGGGTGCCTGGGGGCATGAGAGAAATGAAGCCAGAGAGAAGGGGGGTTGGCTCAGGCTGACACTTCACATGCCAGGCTCAGAGGTTCGCATTTTACCCCAAATCCAGCATCTCTGGGGAGCCCCGATAGCTGTGGGCAGAGTGATGTGACTTCTAGAGCACTTGAGATAAGCTTGACTCCGTTCCCGGGTTGGCCGAGGGGTGGACCATCTAGAGGCAGGAGGGGGAGTGGCGCAGAGGAGGTGGGAACACCCCACTGCACCCCACGTCTCTTTACTCATTTTCCCCAGCCTGCCCGACCCCTGGTGACCAAGTGTGACACTTGGCAGAAGAGCAGAGTCTGCCTCCCAGCGGGTGAAGAATGCAGGAGTCCCTGGTTCCTGCTGGACCTGGGGCAAGAGCTGGCTGGGCAGCTGGCAGCTTGGCAGGGATGACGTTGTTTGCTCTGCTGTGTCTGCAGCCACTGCCGCTGGGCAGCCTGATTAATGACCCATGGTGCCCAGGGCATCTCTGCGGTGGCTGCCAATGGAACCTCCCCACCGTGCCTCCTGGCCACCTGGCCTCCTATGTAGGTGCTCCTGGGCCAGCTCCAGGAAGCGATGACGTTGCTCTGCTCCCTGGATCTTCCACTCTTCTCCAGCCTCCTGTAAACCCTGGCCCCAAATGCTCCCCTGGGGGAGAGACTACAGAGAGGACCCACCCCACTTCAATCTGCCTCCTTCCACATTTGATCCCCCTCAGGCACACAAGAGAGACTCAAAATTATGACTCAAAGGATTCTGTGCTGCTTCTCTCCTCATTAACAACCCTCTGGTGCTGGGCACAGTGGCCACGCTGTCATCCCAGTGGCTCTAGAGGCTGAGGCAGGAGGATCTCAAGTTCAAAGCCAAACTTGACAGCTTAGTGAAGCCCTAAGTAACTCAGGGAGACCCTGTCAGTGGGGAGCCACAGTGCTTTACCATGCCTTCCAGTTCTGATGCACTGCGGGGATCTGAAAGATCACTGTTGTCTGGCCGGGACTCGGTCTTTTCCCCTGCTCGGATAGCAAGGGCAGTCTTCTGAGTAGGCACACCCCTGGGGTTGAGCTACACTCACCTATTCTTTTGTAATCTTACCGATTTGTCCTGTTTGGGATAGAATGTTCCATGGAAACTCCCTTTGTGTGTCCCCTTCTCTTGCTCTGCCTTTGGGTGTGACCTTCCTAGATGTCAGTCAGTCTGCTGACAGCAGGCATCATGAAGCTAGACTCAACCCCCGAAACCTGACCCCTTGCCTCATTTGAATGGCTTCTCCCCAATAAAAGGCTTTAGCACGTGCTCTTTCTCTCTGTTTCTTGGTGGACCGTCCCAGGACCCAAAGAAAAAGGTATCTCTGTGTGATTATTTCATGCAGCCCAGTTCACCTGAGTGACCCTGAGTGTTTAAGTCATGAAACATGGCACCTGTCTCCAAATAAAATACAAAAAGGACTGCGGGTGTGGCCCAGTGGTTAAGGGCTCTGGTTCAATCCCTGGTACAAATGAAAAACAAAACCCCTCTGGTGACCCTGGCATGGGCTCTGCATCACTCTGCTTGAGGGCCCGTGTCTGGGTTCTGTTTATGTGTGTCCCACCTCCACCATCAGACTAGAACTCCCCAAGATCAGGGTCAGCTTCCTCTAGACTGGCACCTTCAGAGATTAGTGTTTTCTTTTCCCTCAAATTGGCTGCTCCCCAAGGGCAGGGACTATGTGTTCCCCACTATCTGGGAGTTCTCTGAAGATAAGGCTCTTCTTAGGGCTGTTCTGTTTCTCTCTCATTTCCCTCAAGCTGAACTAGGCTTTGGTTGTACTCTGAAGGCACAGGGTAGGGGACGTGGAGGGGGTTCAGGATGAACCTCGGGTTTGTCTGCAATGGCAGGGCTGGGCACGGGGGCAGCAAGCGTGCTGGGAAGGGGTCGGGGCCAGGTAGTGAGCTGTCTAGGGCCGAGGGGCTCCAGGGCTCTAAAATAGCCCTCTGGGCCACAGGTCCAGTGCCCTGGGACGGGGTGACTTCTTGTATCCAGCAGACTGAGTGGGGAGGAGCAGAGGGCGTTTCCTGGCCTGCCTGACTCCCCACGCCTCCTGTGGCTTTGTCTTGGGCACCTGCAGGAGGACAACCACAGCTACTATATATCCCGTGTCTACGGCCCCAGTGAGCCCCGCAGTCGGGAACTGTGGGTGAATGTGGGTGAGGCCAACCAGAACCAAGTGAAGGTCCACAGGATCCTTTCCAATACCCACCGGCAGGCCTCAGTGAGTGACCAGGGTGCCTGGTGTGTGTGTGTCTGGGTGGAAGGCTGCACTGTGGGGACCTGGGAGCAGGCGTGGCAGGGGCCTGAGGTCTATGATCTGGGGGGGGCTTCTTAGTGGGTCCCATGAGCTCACCCAGAGTGGGGGTGCCTGCCTTCAGTCCTAGGGGCCTGCTCTGGCCATGCCTGCCCCCCACTCTGTCCAGACAGGCATGGGGAAGTGTGGGTGCCCAACCCTTGGCCTGTGGCTTGGCTCATGCTGACTCTCTCCCGTCCCCTGCAGAGAGTGGTGATGTCCTTCGATTTCCCTTTCTATGGGCATCCTCTGCGGCAGATCACTATAGCAACTGGAGGTAAGGCGAGCCAGCAGGGCCCTGGGGAGGTCTGGACATCTTAGGCTGAAGGCAGGGGTATCGGTGGAGAGGGGGTTGAATAGACAGACGGACTGGAGAGGATGTATGTTTGCTGTCTTGGGTGCCCCATCTTAGGAGGGAGATCAGGACTGTCAGAGCATCCCCCTCATGCTGCGCGCGCGCGCGTGTGTGTGTGTGTGTGTGTGTGTCTGTGCGTGTGTGTGTCCTGCTAGGTCCCTGTGGTCCCTGGGTCTCTGAATCTGAGAGAGAGGAAGAGGAGACCACACTGAAAGCCTGGGTTCCTGGGACCAGGCTCCGTGTTGCTTGCAGGAGCCCATCTGATTCCCACGCACTTCAATTCCGGGTGCCACTTCCCTAGGGATCCAGGGAGGTGGGAGTCATCTCCCGTTCCCATGCTATGTGTCCAGCTGGAGACACAGCGAGAACCTTCTTAGGACTGGGGGCCTTTTGCTCCACACACACCAGACCCAGAGCCATCAGCTCCGGATGGGATGTAGGGGTCTGAGGCTCTCCTCCAGCCTTGGGGAGAAGACCCCCAGGAGCAGCCCCTGGAGGCCACCTCCGGCAACCCTTCTGTGACTCTCCCCCCCAGGCTTCATCTTCATGGGCGACGTGATCCACCGGATGCTCACAGCTACCCAGTACGTGGCCCCCCTGATGGCCAACTTCAACCCGGGCTACTCCGACAATTCCACAGTGTCTTACTTTGACAATGGTGAGGGCAGATCTCAGAGTGTAAGACATGAAGCCCCAGGGATCTCTTGGACCGACCCCCTTTAGAGGAGCCCCAGGCTTAGAGAGGGCAAGGGACTTGCCCACTATCACACAGCCAGACAGCCACCCCACCTTTCTGTGCTAGTTCCTCAAATGAAAGACAGGAACAGAATGCAGCTGCTTGCAGAGTCTGGTGAGATGACAAAATCTATGTGTCTGCTCTTAATAGAGGTGAAATAGATGTCAGGGGCCTGGATGGTTCTCACTCTCACCCAGGAGAACAGACATCTCCTGTCCTTTTCATCTCAAGGGGTCAGTCTGACAGGAAGGAGGGGCCCTGCCTGGGGTTAGAGATCTGGGGGCTGAAGCAGGACCTCTGGCTCCACAGCCTGGAAGCCGGGCTGATGGCTGGGGGCTGCCCAGCTCTCCGCCTTCTCAAGTTTGCTGTGAAGCCCGTCATCCTGAACGGAGCAAACCTCTGGCCAGTTCCGCTCTGGCTGTCCAGCCAGGTCTCTGCTCTTCTCCTCAGGGACAGTCTTTGTCGTTCAGTGGGACCACGTCTACCTCCAAGGCCGAGAGGACCGGGGCAGCTTCACCTTCCAGGCCGCTCTGCACCGTGATGGCCGCATTGTCTTCGGCTACAAAGAGGTGAGTGGGCCCCGCCACAGAGACTGGATCCCAGCCTTCCTCCCGCCAGCAGGTGTTTGTAGGGAGTCCGCAACACGCCAGGCATGTGGATGCTAACAAGCCTGCTGCAGGCCCCACCCTGTCCTTGTGCAGTGGTGGCTGTGTTTGAGAGATAGACAATAATGGCAGGGACAAAGGCAGAATCACTACTGTGACAAGTGCTCCTGAGTAGAGGCACCTGGTGCCAGCAGAGCCTGTCAGGGGGGCTCTTCACCTTGTCAGAGGCCAAAGGAGGCTTCCCCAAGGAAGAGAGACAGGGTCTGCGGGATGAATGGGAGTTAAAGAGCAGAGTGGAGCGTGTTCAGGGGAGAGACGGGCATGTGTTTCGGTCCCATGGCAGGAGAGATCAGGGCTGGCACCAAGCTCTGGAGGAAGACAGTGTGGTCCGAGAGGCAAGAGCGGGGCAGGACGAGGCAGGGGAGCAACAAGATGTGCCTTTGAAAATGACCATTTTGGGCTGGGCGCAGTGGCGCGTGCCTGTAATCTCAGCGGCTTGGGAGGCTGAGGCAGGAGGATTGCAAGTTCAAAGCCAGTCTCAGCAAAAGTGGACTGCTAAGCAACTCAGTGAGACCCAGTCTCTAATAAAATGCAAAATAGGGCTGGGCATGTGGCTCAGTGGTGGGGTCCTCATGAATTCAATCCCTGGGAAAGAAAGAAAGAAAGGAAGGAAGGAAGGAAGGAAGGAAGGAAGGAAGGAAGGAAGGAAGGAAGGAAAAGAAAAGAAAAACAGAATTGGGAGCTGGATTATATGAGGGAGGAAAGAAAAGTAAGGGAGGACAGGAGGCCCCCCGGCTCTCCGGCTGCACAGAGGTGCTGTTCACTGAGGGAGAGACAGGCTGGAGGTGACATGGGGAAGACCTGGAGTTTGGATGGGAGTTTGGGTTTGAGGTGCCTTCGGGTCCTCCAAGAGGTAACGCTGGGCAGGCAGAAGACTCTGGAGCTTAGCGGGAAAGTCAGGGCCAGCCCCAGGGAGCTTGGGGGGTAGATGGAGCCTCTTCTCCCCACTACAGATCCCCATGTCCGTCCTGGAGATCAGCTCCTCCCAGCACCCCGTCAAAGCAGGCCTGTCAGATGCCTTCATGATTGTCAACCCATCCCTGGACGTGCCAGGTGAGTCCCCAGGGATCCAGCAGAGACCCGGGCCGGGTAGGACCCAGCTCAGCTGGAAGCCAGGCCGGCGGGGTTGACGCTGGGAGGAGTGAAGGATGGAAGAGACATGGCAGCCGAGGGGGGAAGGGGCACGATGAACCCCAGAGCTTCTCTGGTCACAGCAGAGGAACCATTTTTTCCAACCAAATGTCCAGTGGGAGGCAATGGTCTGGTGGAGGGGAAGGAGCCAGAGCCTTCGACTCGGGCGTCTGTTGCTTTGGGGAAATCCCCAGAGACACCAGGGGAGGGTTTTTGAGCCTCCCAGAGCACAACCAGAATGGCTTCCACCCCAGGTGATTCAAGGGCTCTCAGGGGTGTCAGGAGACAGGGAATCCAGCCTCAGCCACACCTAAGTGACCTCTGTCCTTTGGTAAACCATATCTTCCCTCTAGTCTCAGTTGCCTCATCTGTAAAATGGGAGAGTAACTGGAGGGGTACTTCCTCCCGGTCCTCCTCCTGTGCTGACATCTCCAGGAACCACAGCTCCTTCTCTCCTACTGCAGACCCCCAGCCAGTATCCACAAGGGTCTGATTCACACTCCCCAGGAGGCTGTAGGTGTGTCATCCACTGCTTCATGACCCTGGACCCAGAGACTCTCTGGCCTGGCCTCTTTTGCTGAGCTGTGTGTACCAAAATTCCACTGTGTGACCTGCAGGAACCTAGGCAGGTCTGGGGAGAAGCCATTGCTGTTCTTCTCCCTCCCACTGGTGCCTGATGGGGCTGGGGACATTCTGAGCTCCACCCTGCCATGCCAGGCTGGGTGAGGATGAGTCTAGCACCTGCCAAGTTTCCCTCCTGTAGAGGGGCCGGGCACCACCATTCTGTGTAACCCAGGGCTTCTAGGAGCAGCGTCCTGGCCTGTCTGTGTTGGCGGAAGCCAATCAAGTCCCCTGAGCTCAGTTGAGAGACACAGAGGAAGATAGTCCTGCTTGAGGTTCAGCCTAACAGAGCCTCTGCCCCTGAGTCTGTGGGCAAGGACCAGGGCTTTGTTAGAAGGCTTTGTCTAGCACCTTCTATACGCCAGGATGTCAGCACAGCATGTCAGCTCAGAGCCAGAAGCCCGGGCTAGAGTCCAACTCTCCACTGGTGTGTGACCCCTGGCAAGTCACTGACCTCTCTGTTTCTTGCTTGATTTGTGTCATCGGGTAGGAGAGTGGCACTTTGCCTCCCGTAGTTCCTGTGATGATGAAGGTGGCAGTGCATGGTGTTTGGCTCACTGTCAGGCATGTGGGGACTGTGGTCCCATGTTAGAGTGCCTTCCCTGCTGGCCTGCACAATCTGGCAGCACCTGGGACTATAGCAAATGGTGCAGGTGTAGGAGCAGGTGACACTGGTGTATCACAGGTCAGAGGCCACAACCACAGCACTTTCATGTGGCTTTTGTAGTTAGTGGCAAAAAGTCACAGGCCATAGTGACAGCGCTCCCCAAAGTTCCTTCCTGGGCACTTCCCCCTTTGAGACAAGTGCCATTTCTACAAACCGTTATTTCTGTTATTTATGAATGCTTTTCATTATCTTCATTCATAAAATTACACATACTTTCTTCCTTCATTGATTTTTGAGATAGGGGTCTCCCTGTGTTGCCCAGGTGGGTCTCTAACTCTTGGGCTCAAGCAATATTCTTGCCTCAGCCTCCGAAGTAGCTGGGACCACAGGCAAAATTATATAGTTTTTCATGAATAAATGTATCTGGTCTAAAATTTAAAAAGATACAAAAAGACACACAGAAAATGTTAGATGAGAACTCCCTGAACTCCCAGAGCCTGCAGGGGCTGGTCCACACTCCCCTTAGCATCTGCTCTAAAAGGTTGGTTAGCACCTGGACAGCCAGCTGTTACAGTCTCCATATCATCCTGATTGTAGTAAGTAACTAGTGTGTGTGATAAATTGTCCCAAAATTTGATGCTTAAAACAACAAATATATTGTCTCGGTTTCTGTGAATCAAAGCATGATTCATCTGGGTCTGCTTCAAGGTTGTGCACAGGCTGCGGTGTTAGCCCAGGTTCCAGTGATGGAGAGGCAGGGGGCAGGAATCAGCTTCCAGAAGCCCGCACATGCCATTGGAAAGATGCAGTTCCTCAAGGAGGCCTCTTGGTCCCTTGCCTTGTGACACTCCTCAGGATGGCTCACGACCTAGCAGCAAGTTTCCACCTGAACAGGCAAACCAGACAGCAGTAGAGGCAAGCAAGATGAATGAATATTAATCATTTTTGCCATAGTCTGTTGGTCAGAAGCAGGTCACCAGGTCAAGGCCTAATACCAGGAGGTCATTTTAGAGTCTGCCCACCACACTGATTATAATCCCCAGGCTCAGCATTTTACAGCCTCTCATTAATTCTTCCCCACAATAGGGTGAGTGAAGTCTGTACATTTGTGCTATTCTGAATGAGGATACAGATGCTCAGAGAGGTGGATCAACTTGCCTGTGGCCACATAGCTATAAAAGGAAAAATGCAATCCCAGATCTTCAATTTAAATTCTGGACGCCTCCACTGAGGTTTTCTTAATCTGACCTGCCCTCATCCCACCCAGAGGAAGGAATTCTTTCCTTCTTGGCTCTCTCAGACACCCACAGTCCTATGTGCACACCGGCTGTCTCTGGGGACAGTTCTTGGGGTCTGGGCTTTATTTCCTTCCCTTCCTCACCCTGAGTTCATGGAGGAATCCAGTGTGAGCAGGCGCTGGTCTGTTTCAACTGTGCCTCCCTTGGGACGTTGTGCAAGGCCATCTCAGGAAGTGTGCCTTGGATCAAGCTGTTGAATGAGGGTGAAGTAGAGGAAGTCAGGTCCCCAGGGATCTGCATCTGAGGCTCTTCTGTGATTCAGGAATAAAAGCCTATTTTAGTGGGAGCCAGGAGGGGGTGGGGAGGGCTAGAGGGTGGGGGAGGAAGCACAGCCCACCTGAAATAACAGAGAAGGCAGCGGAGGCAGGAGGGAACCCATGGCCTCTGGAGAGGCTGCTGGAGTCTGTGTCCCCGGTGCTGCTGGGCCTACCTGCCAGGTGAAAGCTGGTACCTGACCCCTAGATCCTGCCTGGTGCTTCCTGCCCGCTGTCTCCCCTCCTTCCATCCCCTATTCTTGTGGCTGCCACATCTGGACATGTCACCCTCTGGCTCCCCGTTGCCTACGGGATCAAGGCAGAAACCCTTAGAATGGCATTCAGAGCCCTGCACAGCAGGGCGCAGCATGGTGGCGCATTTCCAAACCCTCCCTTTACCTGCTATGCTCTTCCCAGGCAGCCCTGGTCCATGTACCCTGCGTTCTCCAAGTATGCCACGGGCTGGCCACATCTTTGTGACACAGTTTCCTTGTAGAAAATATTCTCCACCTAAACCCTTTCTACCACTTGACAAAATTTTACCCATCCGCCGTCTGACCAGGATGGTGCCTCCTCCACGGGGAAATTTGGCTTCCCTTTCTGCCCTGCAGGCAATTTTGATATGGAGCGAGTCCTGCTGCCCTGCTCAGCTGCCTTCTCCCCACCGTGGGCTGTGAACCCCCAAGTCTAGGGGCTCTCTTGTTAAGGAATGGGTACAGCAGAGACCTTGTCCTCTGCTCTGCTGTGACTCAGTGTGAGAACAGAGCCTGATGCCACTTGTGTTTGGGAGTGTTTTGGAAATTGCATTCCTCTTTTATCCAAGTTTAGTATGGGGAGTGAGCATCGCCTTTAGGGGGTCTGGGAGCTCATAAATTTGTATATGGAACAGTGAGACGCAAGTGGGACACATTCCCATTCGTGTGTTTTTCTGGGATACTCTCTCTGGCCTTTATCTGATTTTTAAGTAGGCCACATAGTGTGTGCAAGGCTCTGGGTTCCGCCCCCAGCACTGCAAAAATAAAAATAAAATGGGCCTCTGTGAAAATAAAACAAACCTCTGTTTTGGGGAATGAAGGTTTTTCTGTGGTGAAGAGGCCAGGTTCCTCTAAGTCTGATATTCCACCCTGCAAGTAGGGAATAAGCTTGGGTTAGGTAGAGCTGCCAATAACAGTGAGCCCCAAATAACTATGGCTTGAATGAGATTTTCAGGCAGAGCCCTCTGGTCTGCAGACTGTTATCTCCATGGATATTTCCACTGTCCAAACCCAGAATGGGTGGCATCTCTGTCTTCATACCCAAGCATGGCTCTTCCCTGCCTGGGGCCATGTGAGGAGTGAGCTTTGGTTCCCCACTAATCAAGACCCACGTGGAGCCCAGGCAGCAGGCCTTTCCCTCCCCGCTATGCCGAGCAGGGTTGAAGCCTCACCGTCTCCCTCCTAGGGTTGAGAGAAGAAGATGGTGAGAACCACCAGAGTTCTTCTTACCATTACTTTCCTACATAAACTGTTCTGCATGTTTCGAGCACAGACTGAAAAACAGACTTTGATGAAGACAAAAGCCATGTGCGGTTAGCAGCATCTGTTTGCGGAGGTGCTCAGAACATCGGGGGTGGCCTAGACACCATGCCCAGAGGGACCACCAGAAGTCAGTAGAATTTGCTCTACTCATTGGCTTAAGAAACTCTTTATTTCATGGACTATAATAGCAACTTGAGCGTAGCTAATGTCAAAACTGACAGATTCTGAATTAGTGGAATGGGTTAGTGAGGATTTGATTAAGCCAGGGCTCCAAATTGCAGCCTGCCTTTTGGCTGGCCCCAGAATGGCCTCGGACGGTCCCAACATGCTGTTCCACCTCCTTTTCCAGAACTTGCCTTTCCAAGGCAGACTTGAGACCAGATGTGTGTCAGAAGCCTGTGCAGTGCCTCCATTCCAGGCTGTCGGTGGGGGAGGCAGAGGTCCCAGGCTGGCCACAGAAGGGAGAGGGACCAGCCAAGTGAGGATGCTAGGGGAGGAAAGATCATCAGATCTGGCCCATTTCCTCTTCTCATCTCTCCTGATAAAGGATCCTTCAAAGTGCTCTTCCTTGGAGTTTGTTTGTTTACTGGGGATTGAACCCAGGGGCGCTTAACCACTGAGCAAC